AAATGTACTAAACCGGTTAACTATGACCATCACTTGAGTCTTACCACTTTGACTCTTGACTTTAGTATCGACAAGTGGAGGCTTAGGACGATGACAAAACATTTTGCAAAACACCCCAGCCATCAGTTGGATCTCGTCTTTGCAATGTACCCCTGCCGGACACTGCCCAACTTTGCAAAATGCCCCGACAGTTGCTTAGTTTTTGCACACACACACCAAAGAAAGAAAAAACAAAAACAAACAAAGTATATTATTCACACACACACACACACACACAAAAAAAAAAAAAAAAAAAAAAAAAAAAGTTCGCCTCCCGATTGTCAAAGTTCTCTCCCTTCTTCCCACTGTAGGGATCAGGGAACTTGACTTTGACTGAATATCTATGGGGACGTGCTTCCTCCTCCCTTGGAGCTACTAGCTTGGCGCCCTCTATGGCACCAATGCAGAATCGCTTTGTGCTCTCCATCCTGGCCTTCACTTTTGTGCCCACGTGCATCATCATTTCTCGTCGAATCTCCCTGAACCCTATGCGTATGGACCGCAGAGCTACATCCTCGCCCCATGCAAATTGATATTGCTCTTCTTGGGCCCTAGCTAGGAGTTCTATGTTCCTGGCCATCACATCCATCTTCCTCTGCAGGTCCGCCTGCGCTTCCATCTGCGCCCTTTGTTGTTCACCACCTCCAATTTTTTTGCAGCCTTACTTGCCTCCTCCATTCTCTTTTTCTTCTCCCTGGTCAAGCGCAACTTCCACTCTAACTTCTTCTCTTCTTCTATATTCTGGCGTTTTAAGGGGTCCTCTTCTGCTTCCGACTCTTTTACTACCGCCTCCTGTTCTGCCCTTGGTACATACATCATTGTCTCCTCGTCCTCTCCCAGGGGTAGATTAGCGACCCACTTGGACACCTTTTCCAACCATGGGTCCTCCTTCGTGCCACTGGACTCCCCTCTCTCTCTTATGATCTTTCTGATCAGGGGAACTTCCTCTTCTGCCTTTTTCTCTTCTTCTTCTTTTTATGCCTCCACTGCTTTCAACTTTTCTTCCTCCTCCTTCAACATTTCCAACTCTTCCTCCAACTTCTTTTTCTTTGCGGCTTGCTCCTCCAACAAGGCCAACTTCTTGGTCTGCTTCAATACTTCCCTCTTCTCTTTCCTGGCCTTCTGCTCGGCCAGAATCGTGGCGGCCTCTTCCTCCTGGTCCTTCGTATAGGGAGTGGTACTAGCACCACCCCTCGTGTCAACTCTACATGTCATTGTGTTTCAAAAACCTAACGGAAAAAGTAAACGCCGAAGGGTCCCCCAGAGGGAGAACCCCACGAGCAAGCCGTACGTAGGGTAGTCATCCATAGTGTTGGGTGCACGACAGTGACTGTCCCACTCCTCACCACTTAGACCTACCCACTTGACGGACTGATCGTCTAAGGACTACAGGATCCGTATAGGACCCTGTCAGCTATAGTCTCTAGCCTGGACCTAATGCTAAAGTTGTCACTACAGGACTTCAATGCTGATCAGGAGGCATTTGAGGAGATCCCCCGTAACTCCTCATGAATTATTTAACGTCGCAGACATGACGACGCGATCAGCAAGTCCTCTCAACACTTAGACAACTGGTTGTGCAGCCCACAACTTGGATTTTGGGCCTACCATGCCACACTGAGCAGCCCGCCGGTCTGTACCGGTCCTTGGGAGGGTTTGTCCTCCAGGTCAGTCAGTCGTCAGACACGGCCTTTAGCCCTACTCAACCCATGTGGGTTTAGATAACATAGCGGTATGACCTCATACACAAAGTTCCTATCACCTGGACAGAAGAGACTCAATGCAGAAAGAAGAGACAGACAAACTCAGCAAGTACCATGGGGTGAGTGCACATCCATAGGGCGAGGGAATAGGCTGAAGGCTTGGCGAGAGTATACCAACTCCAGATTGGTCAATTTCGTGGTCAACAACTCCGGTCAACGCCTTGGTCAATGCCTTGGTCAACCCCGGTCAACCTCCCGGTCAACACCTCAGTCAACCTTGGTCAACCCTTCGGTCAACCCTCGGTCAGCTCCCGGTGAACGCCTTAGTCAAAGCTTAACTCGGCTATGGGTGCCGACCCCTTTCTTTCTCACCAACCTTCGATATTCACCTTCTCCCTTCTTCCTTCTTTCTCACTTTCTTCCTCCTTCACCCCGGCTATGTCTTTCTCTTTCCTCCTTTGTCTCTCCCTTCTTCTTCCTCAGCTATGGCTTCTCTCTCCCCTTGGTCTCTCCCTCCTACTTACTCGATCTTCTTCCTTCCTCACTTGCTCCGTGTCTGAGCTCGGCGGCTATGGTCGCCACTTCCTTCCTTGGACCGCAC